GCGCCCCTGAGGTGAAGCCCTGTCCCCTCGCGCACACGGGAAGCCCTCCGGCTCCCAGGGTTCCAATGTAGTCCCAAGGAACACAGGGAACAGCACGTGTGCATAGAAATATGGTTTATTAGAGTTACCAAAACATAGTAATTAAAATAAGGCATTTTTGGTGCTGTTTAAGGATCATCAAAACTCTCCCCCTGTACTGGGCACCCACTGCCCAGAACATGTATATACACAGAGGCTGCTCTTCTGCAGCATATGCCCTTAAGAGCACTCTTATACAATAATAAAGCAGATGGAAGGTGAAACTTCTGGTTCTATCTCAGTAGAGAAGTATCTGGCCAGTAAGGGGGCACATCCCCAACTTTATTTATTATTTGCTTTTTATTTTTTTTATTTCTTAAGAAAGTGGTTTTTATGTTAAGAGTGTGTTAAATTGAGGATTGAGAGTTGGATTTGATAAAACAGCATTAAGTTGGAAAGATTCACCTATCCATAATATTGCTGATAATCCACTTTTCACTACCAGAAATGAAGTTTCTGAAATTCAGAGATTAGCCATCATTAGATTGTCCATTAAAGTAGTCCATTAAATAGAAGTGCTGCATATATATACACGTGCATGTACAACACATTGTTGTACACTACCACTTTCCTAACAGCCATTTTAAAATAATCTCTTCCTTCAAAGAGTAAAATAGACCACATAGCTCTGCTACTTACATGCTTGTGCCTGACTTTATTCCATCTATTAATGTGAAAGGATTTAGCAATATTCTCCAAAGTAGTTAACATCTGCCCTAATTGTCACTGACAATGTCTCTAGCAATAAGCTCTTTCATTATTTCATTGGTACCACCGTAGATCGGGTGAACACGGGCATCCACAAAAGCTCTGAAAGAGGGGAAAAAAAAAAAAAAGATGAAAGATTTCTCAGAACATACATACAGCCAAATGAAAGATAAGTCTTAATTTCTGAGGCCCCTCTTTTTTGAAGTACATTATGCTTCTGGAGCACAGTTACATCTCTTTCATTTACTTTAAGTATGTTATTTAAATGGCTTCAGAAATTAGTCTGGTCTGTTTTGATTTTGTGTCTGACCATGCCCTGCTGCCATAGCTAAACACACACACACACACAAAACACCACCACACCACTTATTTTGGAGGACTGTGTGCATTAATATTAATTAGGTAATCGTGGAACAAAACAAAAATTCATGATCTTGCTCTAAATTTAGGAAGGAACAATGGTACAGATCAGAATTAGGTTTCAGTAGTGTATTCAGTGAAAGATTGCACACCACAGTTTTACACCGCACAAAGGAAGTTAATTCAATTTGACATATCAAGTTGAAAAAACAAACAAGTTTAATTTTTTTTAATAATCAATATTTCTCAACTTTATTCAATTGTTTTAAAATATACTGCAGGAGGAGAAAATTATAAAATCTGGACATTTAAAGCTATGGAAATACATAACCTCACCCCTTAACTCTTCTCTACCATTTGTGAACCTTTTATTCTACATCCAGGAGGGTACTATGACTTTTTTTTTTTTTTTTTTTTTTAAATTAACATTGCCTTTGAAAAGAGATGTTGAGAAAAATCACAACGCAAGGCTACAAGTATTTTAAGATCTCATTTACATATTTTTTCAATGGTATCCAATAATGCAGTAGGAACACTTATTTTAGCATACTTAAGGAGTTTTTTTCCCCCTCCTCCAAAGAGGTTTTCAACCACTAATGACTAAACAGGCTTCAGCTGGATCCAGCTTTTAGCAAATACCAACTCCAGCCCCATTTGGGCTAGGAGCTCCAGCCAACAGCCAGAGGGACAAACAATTCCCAGGTGCAAACTTGAGCTGGCCACAGTACATGCATGGCTGGGGACGGCCTGCAGAATGACAACAGTGTGCAGGTGCATCTGAATTCTGCTCCTGTGTACAGGCAGAGCAGCCCAAGAGCAATACAGCACTCAGGAAACACATGTTGCAGAGCTGTGTAATTAAAGTCCCTAGGGACAAATACTGCACATAAGGGGAAAGAGAGATTCCAGGACTCCCCATTCAGGGCTTGCTGGCCTTTCTGTTATTAGTAAGATGATGCAGAACACTCCAAACTGTTTGCTAGAAGTATACACAAAAAATTATTGCAGAGCATCGTTTAATACTTTAGAAGTGACTAGATTTAGATTGAGTATTCTAAATACATTTAAAAATGTGTGCACAACACCCATTTGCCAACTGTCAATGACCCTCTTTGTGATGGGTACCATCAGATTTACCTCTTTTTAATAGAAAAGCCTTACCTATGGTATTGTGGCAATGGCATGTAAAAGAAAAATCATCTTTCTACCCAATATACAGGAAAATATATATAAAGCTTTTAAGTACTTAAAATAGACAAAAAGGGCAATGGCAAATCTCTGATCTCTCCTAGTTCCTCCATTTTAAAAGGTCCAAAAATCTGAATGTGACTCTTGATTAAACAATTTATTATTTTAGAGTATTACAAAACCTCTAAGGTGGGCAACATAATGCTGATGTGTCAAGGAAATAACATTTTAAGATAATACACAAACTATCTTTGCTCATTTGTTTTGACACTGCTTCTGCTTAATTAATCATTTTTCTCCTGCTGTGAAAAAAGCCTATTTAGTTTAGAAAAAAATGGGTAGAAATTGCTCAATAACTTATGGATTGTTCACAAAATTAAAACTGAGTCTTGCTGCAGACATCTGTACAGTGGATTGCATTTCAATAAACATGAGAAAAGGAACAGCAAATCAGCCCTGCACAAAACAAATGGCAAACAGACATAAAAGCGCTTCATTTTAACTTTGAATAATGAAAGATTACGAACAAGTCTGAAATAAAACACTTACTTTGCAATTGGATACTCCCACATGTACCCCCATCCTCCATGCAGTTGCACACACTGGTTTGCCACACTGCTTTCAAGATCAGAAGCCCTTGAGGGGTCAAGAAGAAAAAGTTAAGTATATACTCTGAAAATATCAGAGATACAGATAGGTTAGCAAGACAAAAATAACTATCAAACTTTTAATCTAAAAAAGTGAGGCAAGAAGTAGTTCATATTGTGAGGGTTTTTCTTCTTCCTACATGAATGGTAAAAAATTAATGCATCAAAGTGAAGAGTATTGAAGATCTGTTCTCATTATGGAAGAGCTTTCATGAAAAGATGGCTTTCAAAATAGACAAGGTTGCGTGCTTTTATAACAAGCACGCACATGCCTAGACATTTCTTTCATAAAGTAGGTTGTTGTGGGGTTTGTTTGTTTAAATAAAATCCTTCAGTCAAATCAACAATATTAACGTATCACGATTAACAATATCACAGACTTCCCCCACACAAACACACCACGAACAACACATCAAGATGCTCTGTGAATACAACAGTTACCTGGGGACATCGAACACTTCAAGATGTTTTACAGTTTATTCTAATAAAATATTGTAATTCTTAAACAAGACTGCTTACATTTGATTATTCTGTTCATTTTGTTTTGTGCACCATCCCTCCAGAATTTGCAGATAATCATTCATTGCTTATTTTCTGCATCTGAGCTTTTGGAAAGCTACACATTTGGTGCTACTTCAAATACTCAGGTGAAAGAACTCAAAGGATATTCACTGCACTATAAATTCAAGCTCATGTTAAAAGACATGAGGAAACACTTCCAAGCACTCAGCGTGTGTGGAGTGGTAAAAGTAGAAAAAATAATAATAAAAGACCACTCAAAGCAGTTGCTTTTAGCTGCTGTTACTGCAAAACAGAAATCTATAGATCCTTCATTAGAGATCACTGAAGAAATGCATCAACTGTATTTTAAAATATTTTGGACTTCGACCCTTGAAGGCCACTGCCTGTACAATAGGCTTTAAGCAAAATTGACTAGGGGTCGTCTCCTGAAACATCTGGGAAAAAAAGAAAAAAACAATTCTTCATTCAGGCATTCTTTTAAATCTGTCTTGGAGAGTTTTATGGAAGATTGCCACAGGAACTCCATTATGGGAAAGGGCAAATCCACAACAAACTGAGCACTAGCATTTGGGAGGGTGGGAAAGTTTCAAATTCCTCACTTGGGAAAAAAACCTGTTGATGAAGTAAGTTTGAGTTGGCACTAGTTGTTTCCTCCTCCTCAAAAGTGAATGCCTCTGCTTTGCTTATGTACCTGGTACGCCTAGGTAGCCAGCGCCAGGAATATCATTCAGACAAAATTCTTCCTTTCATTGTAAATACTCTCACTGGATTCCCTTAGTTTTTTTTCCAAGTACTTCCCACTGTCCTTATTTTAGGAAGTTTTATGCTGCTCTAGAATTTGTAGAGTTATCCATCTTTCATAAAGCTACCTGCTATTATAAATGTCTGATCTGCATTTCCCCTCCCCATCTCTGCAAGCAGAGAAAAATAATCATGTGCCAAATTCACAGGCTGTATCTTAGCTGCATCTTCCCATCTGGTTAAGCCTAGGTTAACAGATAAGGCCATGAACCATTGGGAGGAGGAGGAGTTCTGGCCAGTAAAGGAAAGCATTGTTTGGTTTCAATTGCAGCAATAGCTGTAGCCAACTACTTCTTCCTGAAACAGGAGAGCTTCAAAGATTCTCCAGACTGTACAGCTATTGCTAAGCAATGCTAATAAAATTCATTCTGTATCTTATGGGCTTCCAATGACCAGGGGTTTGTTCTGCTTTAAAGATTTGCCATGGTAATGTCCAAATATCTTTCTAGAAAGACAAGGAAATATTCACTTTTAACTGAAGCTAAAGTCAAGACCCGATCTTACCATTCACGGAATCCCGTCTTAAAAGCGTGCCGTTACCTTGAAATCGATCCGATTAACTAACACTGGTTTTCAGTGTAACTGTTTAAGACTTACTGACTACATGACTAAAGTTTCAGCTAATGGAGCCTATCAGAAGCTGACAGTTTAATTATTAATCACACTGTAATTTTAGCTTTTCATCAATTCTGAAGAGTTCAGAGTTTACTGTTAGGCTCCTGTCAAGATTAGGAAAGAAACACTTTCAAGTTACTTTAACCACATACCAATACTTTGCCATAGAAGCTGTGCCTGTGTCCAGACGTTTTTCTGCATGCAGCTGCAAACAGTTGTCCAAAAAGGCCCGGCCAACGCAAATCTGTGTCTTCATTTCGGCCAACTTGTGATGAAACGAAAAACCGTCTTATTTTGGAGGTGGATGGAGGAGCCAGAGGAAAGGAAAGCAGAAGTTGTGATGTTTTTAAAGAATATTTCAAGTAAAAAATACAGCATTTTCTACAATGATTTTTGCTTGTGAAATAGGCTTCATCTTGCCATGTTATTGACAGAAATTACACTTGCCCAGTTAAAAATATATCAAACTACCTTGGCTCTAAGCAGCAAAAGGGAGCCAACTTGCATACAATTATGTCTTTAACATTCTTACTAAAGAAAATTATTGCCCTTTGATTCTCAAAACCAACTCAAAACATGATCTCATGAAAATACCCCAACAAGCAACCAGAATACATAAAATTCCTGGAGCGCACAGAGTGTGAGCCATTGGATACCTTGCTGCCCTGTGCTCCCTCTGGTGGGGAAAGAAACTTTCATTCTGCAGACAGTAATTTCCCTAGTTTATCATAATTTCATAACGTATTGGTTATATTTTATATGCATACAGTGTTTCACAGTTTGAGATTCAAAATGCATGCAAGTTAAAAAAAAAAAAAAAAAAACACAGAAATTTTAGATTATTGGAAAGTTTCCAACATTGAGGTTTCTAGTCAGAAGAGATAAAATTCATCACAAAAGCTAAGGAAAGAAATTGTGACAGGGCAATTACTATTGTAATTTCATTCCTGGAGGGAGGGGATAAGAATACAACCCAGTAAAGTCTTCTCTGAGCTCCTAGTCCTAAAATCTTTTAAGTAGTATTCTTTCTTCCTTTGACCAACTGATGTAATTAGTAAGCCTGCCATTACGAAAACTGATTTCAAACACTCCACTATGGCATAGCTAATGAATCATGGTTAAATGAATCGGGCAAGACAGAGCTCTAATTAGAAAGGAGACAACTTTTGCCTATACACACATTTTATTTATCAGCAAAGGGACGCTGAAAAGGTATACCAGGATTGATTCTGTGAGACAAAATGGTATTTTGTAACATTGGTTGTCTTTTGGCTGGTGATGGGTTAGTCTCAAAAAGGATAATATCTTGGAGGTCTCTGCATAGTGAACTATAATCACTAAAAAGCAAACTACACCCATATGAACAAGACTGTAAAATACGTTTCTTTAGTGTTAAGGTTACACGCTGTACAAATTCTGTCTCAAATTACGTATTTCTAAATTTAAACTTTAAGAACAGGGGCAAAAATCTTCACTACCTGAAAGAAACTTACCATTCCAGCCTCTAAGGGCTCATTTCTGCTCCCACTCACAATTACAGATTTGATTTCAACAGAGTCTCAAAACTTAGAACAGGGCTTTCTGCTTGACTTCAAGAGTGAACCATGTTCTCAGAGACCCATCCCACAGGTTTTATACGTAGTCCCTTAAGTGCCCAGTTACCTGGCAGCTGGGGAATCTCATTACAAACAAATACGAACAAGGACAACGAGGTCACTGCCTGGGAACCCTGACAGACACCAGTCTCGAAGCTCAAGTTTCTGCAGCACATCATGTGCAGAGGGACACCGTGCTTGCACATGCACAAGCCTTTCCAGAGTCCAAGGGGCTCTGCTCCACTCCAGAAACACACACAGGTGTAACCTGTGCAGTTCCTATGACCTGGGCCTCAGGTTGTATTCCACACACAGATGTGAAACAGCTGCACACAGAGAGCTATCTACAAATCAGTTCAAACTCACCTGCAAATGGGCAACTGTTTTCCCAAAAGCTTTTCTTTGCTTCACATAATTCCTTGTTTCTTCAAACATGAATTCACACCTGGCAATAGCCATATCTCCAATCACCAGTCTTTCCTTTCAAAACAGGAAATTATGGAATCCAACAGAATTAGTCCTACATTTCTCTGCATCCAGTGCACAAATGTACACACACAACTGGGAAATAAATGTTGTGTTGTTCATTAAGGGAGTAAAGTAACACTATGTATCGAACCAGACACACTCCATTACTAAAATTATTGGAATGTCTTGCTTTATGATACCCAAAGCCCACTTTTAAGGCTTTTTGAGGTAATGTTCTAAAGTTTTATTAGGCTGAAGATATTTTAATAAAAATCAACTGCAGGACTTCCACTCACTGATTGAAACATTTACATCAAACTCTTCTTGAATTACTAATTTTCACTACGCGGATTAAAACAAAATAGTATTTAACAATTTCAACAGAATATTCCTGAAAAATAATCCCAAACTAAGAACACAGACTCGGCCGCCCCCACCCCTCCAACAGGCTGAAAAACTGAAACCAAGTCCTTTTAACACTGTTGAAACAATTGAACGCATATCTGAAACTATTCAAGAAAGTTGTTTTGGGGGTTTTTGTTTTGTTTTTTAAAGACTAGAAAAACATTTTCTATCAAAGGACAAAGTAATAAAGCAATCTTGCAAGCTGAAAGATTGAAAGATGAGGTTTCATATTAACTAGAGAGTAAAATTAAACACATGCCCACCAGATGCGGCAAATACAAAGTCACAGTTTTGACAAAGCACAGCAATGTTCTAAAAAAACTACAGTTCTTGTCGGACCTCCCAAGTCATTCCAAAATTTATTAGAGTTGTAAAAAACACTCGTTCCACTAGCAAGGTATTTTGACAACTTTCTATTTCAATTCTGCTATATTGATTTAAAAAGATTTTCTTGTATCATTATTGTATTTCTACCTGCTAGAATAGCAGTGCTTGCTTCTTTCTTTCAAGAGGAAAGTTGTGCTAGGAGCATCCTTTTTTCAGTTGAAAAGCAGCACTAACAACAGGCTGTTGCTCACAGACATCCTGTTTCTGAGCCTGAGGTGGCTCAACATGGTGCATAATCTCCAAGATTAAGACAGATCCTTGCAATGGAGGGAAAAAAAAAAAAGTTTTCTCTGATCTTCCCACTAGTGGCAGAGGTTTATGTTTGTTCCTCTCACCTGAGGGAGTTCTCCCATCAGATAATAGAAGCCCTTATTCTCTTTCCCAAGCAAGGCACTGGCTGGCAGCCGCACATCTTCAAAAAACAGCTCTGCTGTATCCTAAGGGGATTTAAGAAACACACAGTTTACAACCTGGCAATCTCACCTCCTCAGTTCACTACTTTTTCACTGTTTTCTTGCTAGTGTATTCTTTACATTGGAAGTGTCCTCCAGAGTCATCTAGCCTACCTCTTACTAAAAGCACATCCAGCAAGGCAGAGAGCTAAGGGGTTTGTCACATTTTCCATTGCTCCAATGCTGGAAACTCCACAGCTTCCCCAGCACCTCATCCCAGTGTCTCATCGTTTTTATAGTCAAGTTCTTTTCTCTCCCCAAGACCTACTCAGATTTTTCCTTGCGTCCCTTGCCTCTCTGCCTTTCACTGTGCATCTCCAAGAAGAATCTATCACCAAAACCACCCATTAGGTACTTGAAGACAGTAAGATCCTGTCCTTCCAGGCTTTTCCACACTGAACAATCCCAGCTTCCTTAAACCTCTCTTCCTACACCAGGTACTCCAGACCTCCACAAAATATCCTCAAGATACATTATTTGCTAGGAATTCTGCTAGTTTCCTAAGCAAGGAGCAAAAACACTGTGCTGACTCCAGCTATTAAGTGCTTTTGGATCATGTCCAAGTCTGCTATATGTTATGGGTCACATTAACTCACCTGGGCTTTCAGGCCCATTTTCTGCAGCTTGCGTCCTTTGATGAAACCTTTTGTCCCATTTTCCACCAGAAAAAGGCTGATTCCATGAGCAGGGGATCGGGCCTCACGGTTTGTAACTGCAACCACAATCACTACATCACTCATCCAACCATTTGTGATGAACACCTGTAAGAAAAGCAACATGGAATAAAGCAACAAGACAGCTGGAAAAAAGACAGAAGTAGTGACAAAGCAACAGAAGGAGAAACAGCATGAATACTTTTACAAGTGAATCAAAATGCAAGCTTTAAGCGTCCAGATTTTAAGCATTTTAAGAACTCAGAAAAAGTGTTTCGAAACAAGATCTATTAAAATAGGAATTGGTTCAAGCAGCATCGTGTGTGTCTGAAGCATGACATTAGAGAATGCACAAGTCTGTTTCTTTTGCTTGTCCCATTAAAAAGTATGTGGTATCAAATGTAGACATCAGACTAATACAGATGGTCTGTTTTCCAGAAGTGTAGAAGCTATAAATGCAAACCCACGGATGGCTGCCTGACGATGGCTTCCTGTCATGGCCGCTCACTAACTCTGTAGTACAATCCATCCATCTGCCTGTAACATTTTAGGATAGGTATGTGCGCGTCTCAGAGCACGGAGCATACGTTACAGAAGAGATGATTATAAATCAGAGCTTCAGCATGCTCAACAGACCAAACGGAGAAACAAGAGAAACTGCAAGAAGAATCCTAAGTCTGCCAAAAAATAAGCAATCTGTCTCGAGTTGCTTTAGCAAGGCAACATAAGCAAGTGCCCTTTTAAACATATTTGTACATATTTGCTTGCACACATTTTCAGCACTTGAAATTCTGCTAAGGCCAGAAGTCTCTATCAGTACCACGTTCTCATTGAAACTACAAAAAAACGAGAGAGGAAAGATGAAAACATTTTATAGCCTTGAAACAATCTGTTGAACTCACACTTCCATTTAAACGCTTCACTTCTGCTTCTTTCTCTCTTATTATGGGAACAAACAGAAGCATTAATGCTGCCAGCATTGCAACAGCTTGACAGCACATGCATAGCATATGATACAGGACTTTCTCCTAACTTGAACAGCAGGTTCCTAGATACGATTACACAAACTGTGTTATAAAAACAAAAGCTCTTACTCAGAATATAGACAATTTCTTGCTGGAATAGCATATACATTTTGCTGTTCCATCTCAGCACTGAGAAATAAGCTCAGTTCTGTTTATGTTACGAAGATTCCCCCCATCCCCAAGTCAAGAGAAAATAAAGCTACAATTTAAATTTAAAAATTCAAAAGCTACAAAAAGATCCTACTCAAGTCTTTCCATAAACTGGTCCATAAATCACCAGCAGCAGAAGTCCTAAAAATGAAAGTGGCAAATAAAATCAAAAAAGTGAAAGAATGGCAGGGAGGGGTTTGAGAGGGAGTTGCTGACCTGGAGTACATTCATCACTGTATCTAGTCCCCAAAGTGAGCAGCTTTCACTTACCTTACTCCCATTAAGAATCCAATCACTTCCATCTTTTTTTGCATATGTTCGTATCCCCTGCAAGTCACTAAAATGAGATTTAAAAGGTCCTTTAAGACACCATTGAAGAAGCAGCAATTTGTGTCTTATACAGTACCAAATATAAAACAAGATAGAGCCTGAAGACTGTCATCAAGATATGCACTCAGTGAAAATATACAGCAGGCTAACGAAACACACCAAATGGCTTACAGTGTAGCACAGAAATGAAAAGCACAGCACGTAAAAGGTTAATAAATCCCTGCAATGACACAAAAGCACAAGGTCCCATTTTAATGCATCTGCTTGTGGGGATGGGGGCAACACAAGTACTGATACCAAAGGGTGAGCATCCCCCGAGTCAATATGCCTTAGAGTACAAATGCCAACCAAGGCTACAGCATCTAAGCAGGCTCAGCCCTCTGCAGAAAGGGACTGAAAACAGCTACTGTCTGTAGAAGCAGGACACCAAAGAGTTCTGCTTTTCACATGCTCCCCCTGACACCACCATTATAGAAACTGGCCAAATCAGCTGTGTGTGTCCCACATATGTGCTGTCTGCCCTTCAATAATGATGATAGAGGAGGGAGATTTCTATGTGCAAAAGGCTTCAGGTTTAAAAAAAAAAAAAAAAAAGTGTTCTGTTCCACAATAAAAGCTAATACTAAAGACAAGCCTTCTTTGCTGAGATATATAATATGCTTTTGAACACAACACTTCATATTAAAGTATGTACAATTCAGACTATAAAAACCAAAGGTTTATTTGCCCAAAGTGGCATGATAAGGTAACTGCTTCTGAGCAAATATCCTGAAATGACAAAACTGTAATAAAGCAATCTAAAAATGCCAATTGCTTTTGACATTCTATCCACACTGGGATATTGTCTAGTCAAAGGCAACTATAAGACTAGGATGCTTGGTATTAAAAAAGAAGCACACAGTAGACAGCACCTAATATTAAGATCATCTGTCTCTATTTTGAGTTTACCTGCCAGCCCCAGGTTCAGTCATGGCAATAGCTCCAATGCACTTGCCTTCAACCATCGGGGGGATGAAGCGTTTTATCTGTTCTTCAGAGCCATAGTTCGTGATGTAGGGCATGACTATATCTGAATGAAGGGGAAATCCTGGGCCACTACAGTTAACATACATCCTTGGAGGACGGAAAGGGGAGGGAAGGGGGGACGGAAATAAAATCAGACAAAAGCACCAAAAAAATTTAAGTGCTGAACTTTACTCTGTTACAACATGAGCTGACACTGGAGAAAAAACGATACAAAGGTCTCAGATTAATAATCTAAACTCATGGCATTTGTACGGTTGTTTATGGAATGCACTTCCACAGCCAAACAGTTGTACAACTCGGACTAAGGAAAACACTTCGCCAGCCACAAAGTCCTAACAATAGGACACAAACACATTTATTATTTAAACAGTCATTTAAAATACTTCCAAGAGGAGGAATTCACATGTCTAAACTACCCTTTCCATTATTAGCATAATATCACTTTCTGTGAAGAAATTTGCTCTGCATTAAGTAAATTATATATATATAAAATTACAATCTCTTGATGCTATGGTAACTAAAACTCCCCCCCAAAGTTTCTAGTACTTACTGCTCTTCCCAGACCACAGCTGAAGAGAGAATATCCGCTCCAATGCCTCCATGTTTTTCGTCTATAGCAATGCCCAGCAGGCCCTGCTCTCCAGCCTTTTTCCAGATCTCCCTGCTGACCTGGCCATCCTTCTCCCACCTGCAAACAAGACAGGAACAGGGGCACACGTGCAGTCCCTTGTGAATACACAACTGTGTCTTGTCTCAGCTAAGAAGGGGTGGCTTCTGTACACAAGTACAAGTTGACATCACCTCTCGGTAGATTGCTGCTGTAAGGTGGTTTCAGGTTTGCAAACAGACAGGTGAGGATGATCTGCTGACAGTTTGCAGATTTTACACACCCCAGGAGAATCCCTTATTCTCAGAAAAATGGTACCTCCTTATGGAGTTTGCTCACTCATCAGAAAGTGGCACAGCATGGCTTTAATAAAAAATAAATAAATCACACACTTTCAAATTATATGGTAGAGAAACTAGATCAGAGTCACTCCTCTGGCACAGCCAGAAGCAATTGAGCTATGCCACAGCACTTTATCGACTGTTAATCATACCATGAATATTTAAGCTCTTATCCAAAGCTCCACCTCCACTGGAAGCCTTCAGCAAAGCCTGTCTCGTGACTATCTTTGCCTTTCACCTATTTTCAGTGCTATCCCTGTCTCTGCTTCACCCACCACCAAAATTCTTCTTCATTATAACCATTTGTGAACCACAGCTACATCTGCTTATCCCACACTTCACGCCAGCCCAGTGGATACATTACACCCCAAGCCTACCTGTTTATTTGAAAGGTGTGGGAATAAAATGGTTCAGAAATCTCTGAAGTGACGCAAGAACACAACTTGAACTTGCTGCACTCTGTCAATGAACCACTTCTGACAGCTAATTACCAAACAGGATCTTCAGTAAGGCCTTTCTGAGCCAGTACCTATTCATTAACTGCCCCAGAAGTAATGCAAACAGAAGATATAGGGGAAAACATCTGTTTTTGTGCACAGAAGACTCTCATTCAGAGGAAAAGCTTTCTACTTTGAGGTCATTGTTTGAGAATGAAAAAAAAATAATTGGCAACGACCCTGATTTAAGTTGTTGCCATTGTCTCCTGCTGGTCATCTGCCCCTGAGCCTCAACACTCCAATCACCCACTTGCACCATCTCAGCTGTTTGTGGATACACACTGGGAGTTTCATCAGGAAAACAATCTTGCAGCATGATTTAAGAATAAGACCTTCTGCCCCACGCTTTGATTCTGCAGGACCCTTTTTCAAGCAAAGCAAAAAGAAAACTACTTAAAACTGCAGCTTAACACTTTGCATCTGAATAAACATGTTCCAAGCAAGCTAAGCCTCATGCATTTTACCTACAACATAATCAGATACAGACAAAATAAGGAACCCTCTCAAACTCTAGCTCAGTGGAAGTATGACACTTCTATAAAAGAACCTGCGTATGCAGGTGAGGAGACTTGGGCAGGAGCAGGAGACTCGGGCAGGAGCAGGAGACTCGCACACTTTAAGTTATTTTGTGCAAGTTTCTCAACAATACACTATATAGTTAAAATTGTGTGAGTATTGCATTTACAGTATTTGCTATAATGGAACCTAGACATGACTTTTTTTTTTTTTTTAAATGACAGCAGTTGCAGCAAAAGTATCAAAGCAGAACAACATGGTGACTAACCAGTCCTGCTAATTCTAATTAAACTTAACACATAAGCAAGGATACTTCGGCTGCACCTCTGCAAACAGCATCGCTCCTGCAAGGACACCAGGCTGCCTTACAATGAAGCTTAGAAGTGTGTATTAAATCCTGTTTTTTTTTTTCTCTCCAGAAATGAGTTTCATGGGCAGTTCAGTTTAAAACTAGTCAGTTTAATTAAAAAAAAAAAAAAAAAAAAAAAAAAACACCCAACTTGGAAATAGATATGCTCTTTATCTTGCTATATTAACAGTAAAAAGCATTGCAGAAGGAGGGCATACACCAATTATTTGGACAGAGGGTATGAAAGGCAACTTACTCATCATGAAAAGGCAGCACTTCCTCCTGGTAGAACTTCCTGACGCTCTGCCTGAAGATATCATGCTCGGGAGAGAAGATCCTTCGGGTGCCTATATCATTCAAATGTTTAGAAAAAGAGGGCTCTTTGCGTTTTGCGCTGGGCTGGTCAGTTTGCACAGCACTAGGGAAATAAAATAAAGTGAAAAAAAGTCAGAGGCTGTTAGGACACATGTGTCCCGGTTTCAGTGACCTTTTTGGAGGGCAGGAGACGCTTGTCCTGCAATGTGAACTATGCCCCACAAGCTCCACGTGCCACCAAACCCAGCAGATGCTCAGAGTCAAGGCAAAGGCACAACACACGTAACATCGCAACAAGAAAAAAAAAATACTAAAATTAATTTTTAAATTTGAAAATAAGTTATAAACAATACACATAAAGAATTAAGGTTCCCCTTTGCCAGTAGGGGAGTCCTCCCCATCACCCCCTCCCCCCCTCAAAAAAAAAAAAAAAAAATCCCCACTTCATCCTTATTCCCCAAAAGGCAATTTAACCTAAAGGCAAACTTTTTCAGCAGGTTTTGTCCCGGGCTGTTTCCTACTTAACTCCATCCACGTCCACCCCCACCTCGCAAATTCCTAACGCCCTAACAACCCTAATCTTGAAAGTAACGCTTCCTGGGAGAGAATTTATGTAAATATAAAATAAAATCACGCCGTCGCCCGTTCCCTCTTCGCCCCCAACCCGACCGCAGAGCCCGGCGGCACCGCAGGAGCGAAGGGCGGCCCAACCCGCGCCCAACCGCGGCCTGCGCGTGTTTAAACGCCCCCCTCAGAACGCGGAGCGGCGAGTCCGAACGCCCCCGCGCGCGTCCCCACGCGTGTGCGCAGCCCCGCGGTACCTGGGCTGCACAGAGAAGCGCCGCGACCCGCCGGCAAACAGGAGCCCACGCAAACGGAGCAGCCGGGCCGCCATCTTGTGCCGGAGGCTGTTGGTGGGCGGTGCCGGGCGCCGTTTTGGGCGTTACCGGGCGTTTTCGGGGGCGGGATGGCGCCGGGGGCGGGAAGCGGCGTGCGTGAGGCCGCAGGGCGGGATTTAGGTTGTTGTTTCTTTCCGCGCAAGCAGTGACCCCACCTGGGTGGTGGCTGAGGGGGGCATTTCTCAGACACCGCCTTCAGATCGGGAGGTGACACGATGTTAGGGCGAAGAAGGGGTTTTAGTTCTAAAAAGAAATACTGTTATTTCTTAAAAAAAAAAAATCTCCAAACTGGCGCTGCGGTTTACTGGAAGGGCAGTCATAGGGGACCCACCGATGAGCTTTTTTCCCCGATCCTAAGTGTGTTTCAGGGCACAGTGGTGTTTTCGTGATGTTTTTTCCAGAAAGCGCCAGCTTCAGCGCCTGCCGCTGTCCCTGCGGCTCCCGCGCCAGGAGGTGGCACTGCAGGAACGGCTGTGGCGCGGGACGCGCTGCTGCCCCTCTGCACAGGCGCGTTTTTAATGCAACATCAAGGCTTTTCAACGCGACCCCCCGGTTTCAGGCCGCCATGGTTGAACTTTTTAATTATTTCTAGTGTTTCCGTAGCTGGAAGCGACCCACATTCCCTTCAGTGCCTGCTTTGCGGGGAGCGATGTCTGACGCACCCATGGCTGTGGGTGCCATGGAAAGCGTCCTCTTGCCGAGGAAATGCTGCGGAAATGCCCGTGGCCTTGCATGAAGCCAAGAATAAGAGAATTGAGGGTTACCTTGAGAAAGTGTCCAAGTGCAGCTCTGTGGGCAAACGGGTTGAAATGATTTTTTTTTCCTTTTTTTTTTTGATCCATCTTAATGTTCCCACTGTTTATCTGAGGAGTTTCTCCTCTGCAGACCGAAGGACTGTACACTTAAGTATACTCAGGTCAGAACAGCTGTATCAAATTAATTATATATTATTATTATTATTATTATTATTTGGAAGAGATATTCCTTTCCACTCTTCATTTCCTCTGTGTGAAAGAAATCACAAAGGGATTGAGCAAATGAATCTTATTGCATGCACATTTTATGTCAAATAACTCACATACCACTTCACACACACTCCTGAGCTGGCACATCAGCAGTTTTATTATTATTTTGTTATTATTATTCATTATTACATTTGCAGCAGTGTATATTGCTGTGCAAGGGCATCCTCCAAGGGGAGGAGCGTTCACTTGGCTCTGGTAACAGGTGACTTAATGTGGAAAACTACAAGTTAACGCAGCCCTTGAATGCAAATGTCCAGGTGCCTCCTCTTTGTTTGGCTGTGTGGGTATTTGTTGTTGTTTGGGGATTTTTTTTGGAGACACTTTGCCCGTGCCATTGGCATGAGGATTTCATTTATTTTGGATATCCAAGTTACAACTTTTTCGAGCGGGGGAACTGCTCAGAGGCATGTTCTAGCCTGGCAAGCCATTCAAAAGCGACTCCCTGACAGCTGGTACGTACTGCATACAAGCCCTGAAGGTGATTTCTGCCAGATGGCCCAGGCTGTCAACATATTTGGATAATAGACGCTCTTTTGAAGAGCTTTGCTTCTGTGTTTTCCTCTGTCTCACTGCATGCGTTGGCGGTGCTGTCAGCGAAGCCAAGCTGCAGGATTTGACAGGAAGCTTTGAAAACACAGTGAGGTCCAGCACTGACCCCTCTCACAAAGCTCTTCACTCATGTTTTAAGCTCCCAGTCTGTTGCAGAGAGTATTCAACTATATATCTCTGGTATGAAGAGCCTGGAGGTTGGTTTCTGAGTGTGTTATTTTAAGCTTATGTGCTGTCTTCTTTCAAGAAGAACCCAGGTGCCGACTGAGCACATCTGACCACCGCAGGACCTGCATGGTCTTCATCCAGCATTTCTAGGCTGCCATCCTCGCACAGGGCGAGCTTGAATAAGATGCAGAGCTCTCAGCTTACGTCTGCCTTCGTACGTGAGTCTCCCTAGTGTCCTTTGCTCAGGGTCACGCGATCCCATGGCAGGGAGCATTCCCAGTGAAGGTGGAAGTTACAGATCGAAGGTATCTTGGTTTCAGCTGAAGGGAGAATTAGTTACATTTCGTATCAAATAAAGAAACTTCCACTACCAGGGTTGTTTGTCAGTCTGTCTTCACCTTAAACATAATAAATGTCCTCAAATAGGGCCCTGAACACTTCAGAATTTCAGCCAAGTTTGTCCTTGCTCAGAGCTGTTGTCCTACATAAATTGGTCACAGACTACTAGGAGTATACTTGGCTGTCAGGTAACACAACCAGAGCAGAAGCTGGTGAATATAACAGGCACATCGCCGTTTTCCCTGAACAAAGCAGAGGCTGATATGTGAATTTTGTATTGCTGCAGGTTGGAAGGGTGCTTGTTGTCCAAAACAGACTTGTGCAAATATGGCATCATCTCCCAAAAGGAGTCATACGAGTCTGCTCTCTATTTGTGTTTTCAGGATTGTATTGATTTAAGTAGAAAAATACACTTTTGTAGTTGTTAAATCAGAATCAAAGCGAGTGGCATCCAGTGTTGTAAGCACTTGCAGTAACATTTTTAAGAGTTGCTTTTTAAGCAGTATTGATGCTTACTCATGATGAGACTTTATGTTCATTATTTGTTCAGGATTTGAGTGAATGTTGATCCATTTGGCTGATTTAATGGAATCCAAATGAATGTTAACAGAGAAATCGATCTTTGTGAACCACTCTTTTTTTACTTATGACAAGTAACTTGGCTGCTGGTGTTCCCTAATTCTGAATTCCACAGGCTCTCCACTCATTTAATGTTGCTTTTCGAGAACAGAATACATATATATTGTTTCAACTATTTTTTTCTTCTTTTTTCTTTTTTTTCCCCCCAAATTAGCAGTCATTGAGGGATTAGGTTCTATAGCTTCTAATGAGCTAATCAGCATTTCCTCTTCAGGTCTTCAGCTGAAGTCCATCCTGACTCAGGCATTAATCAAAACCGTTCTCTTTCAGTTCAGTGTTAGTGCTTCCTGTGCAATGAGTTTGAGAGGCCTCAGCCTCAGCTCCCATTTTCTCAGCTGATTCCCATGTTTGGTGCTAATTGTGGTGGACACAGAGGCCAGGAGTTATCTGTCAGCTGAGGACTAAGGCACTCTCTTCACAGGCCTTGTTCAGACATTATAGTGAAGCATGTGCTGGGAGAAGCTCTCTGTGCTGGGCTTGCTGCAGCTCTTGAGCCTGGATAAGTTGGAGTTGTGGCTGTCTTTTTTTTTTTTTTTTTCCATCAGGAATATGTAAGAGATACATAGTTGGCATCAGTTCTTATCTAGAAGATGGATATGGACTTGGACAACTGGAGAACAGAAAAGTAGCCTTGTAAGTATTAAAAAAAAAAAAAAGCTTTATTCATTGTTGTTGTCTAAAAGCAAACATAGCTGTTCAGACATATGGGACTGTTATAGCTGAGGAACTCTGAACTAACTCTACTTTTTAGGCTAATGAGGCAGTTAATAAGCATTGTTTGCAAGGGGAAGAAGGTGTTGAAAAAGGCTAGCATTTGATGTAGCATAAAGTCAAAATGGATCAATTTTTGTCTCACAAAAAAGAGGCTCTCTTTTGAGCAAACTATCTGGACAGTCAATGTTTAGAAAGATAAGAATGGGAACTTGATTTTGCTTTTGATTCTCTGTTTTGGTAGAGAGGAATGTAACAGTCCAAGGAATCAGTGTAATGTGCCCATCTTCCCCAGGAGTAGCATGTGATAAGTTAACATATGTGATGTTCATGTTGTTCCTTAAATGATGCTTAATGATGGGCATTTATGCTATCTACAGCTGTAGTGTAGGAAGCAGTTATTCCCCCTACCTGGAAAAGGCATGGTTTTGTGTCACTTCTGCAAGGACTTTCAGGAATTAGTGGAGCTTGTCCACCCCAGCCTTTGAAAAGAGTTTAGTTGTTGGGGGATGAGAACCTGGGAAAGGGAGTTTCCTCTGTGAGGGGAAAAAAAAAAAAAAAGACATTTTAGGAATCCTGCAGACCAGTAACTCTGGGAAACAACTTTGAAACTTAATTTGTTTTCTTTCGGAATGGTCTCTCTAAACCATTCTTATTTTAATTATGGGGTGGATGCCTATTTCTTTTTTAGCGTAGTCATTTTAAGGCCTTTTTCTGTCACAATTTCTTGGAAGGTCTTTAAAGCAGATCCACAGATGCCGTGTGGCCTCTTGCTGAGCATTTAATAATGTGCAGCATCCCCAGGCACCTTCAATTTACTGCAGGGTGCATGTGGGTTATGTTCTTATCACTCACTAATTAGCTAAGTTGTAGGAAACTAAATACCCTCATCCCCAGATGAGCCGTGAGTAGACATCATTGCTGTCATATTCCTATGAACCAGATGCAAAGAATACAAAAGGAGGACACAGTCAATAGGGTTTTTGAAATAATGAAAGTCTTGTTTCTGCATTGCGGTCTCTGCTACACACAGAAGTCTTCACAGGAGGCAGCTGTGCCCGATTGCAGGTTTTCTTCAGCATTTCCCCATTCTTTATATATGGCAAGGAGAAGTTAATTGTTCTCTTGTGTGGTGCAATGCAGCCCCCAGGTGCGGTGCTCTTTCCGTCTTGGTGCCTGGCATACAACAAGGAGGTGAGGAAGGCAAGGATTATTTCATGGGCTGTTCTCTGCACTGATGACCAAGGAGAAGCGCTGCAGGCAGCTGTGGGGAACCTGCCTGAGGAGTCACTGCGAGGTGCCACTTGTGTCACTGGCCTCCTGGAGACGTTGTGCTTTCCCCTTGAAGTGTTCAGTTTCACTTATAAAGAGGCCAAGTGAGACTCAATGAGTGCTGGAGAGGGTGGGAAGGACCAGAATTCACCCCCAGCTGTGCCCCTGGCTGAAGTTGACTCTGTGATGCTTTTCCATGCCGAAATGCCCTTCATCCAAGGGAAGATTGTGCACCCTTAAAGATATAAGCAATATGCATAAACTTGGAAGACACAGTAAAAAGGTATTTGTTTTAAAATATAATTACAATTACTCGTTATCATGGCTGTTTCTTTCAATCAGTGTGAACAGTCACTCTTGTAACACTCTCCATGCTGTATGTGCATAAAAATGCACATACATTTTATTGCTTTTTATTAATCTCCTTCATTCACTGCTTAATGCAAAACCTTTCCATAGGGTTAGCAACGGCCTTTCTGCTGCCACAAACAGTTTGATTTAGGAGCTGCGCCCATCATTGCTACATCCATAGAGAAATGTTTATGAGCTAATCTGTACCACCCTCCCAAACCATAAATTTTGCTAATGGCAAGTTCAGTTTAATACTCTAATAAACTGTGGCCTGATATACACTGGGCTGATTAATCTGGAAGGCTGATGTGACAGTGAAATCTTATGTTTTCAGCAATGTTTCAGGCCTCGTTCTGAAGTAAATGCAAGTGCCTGGCTAAATGAAGTAGTACTGCATATTTTTATCATAAAATAAATTAAAAATAATAGGTTACTAAGGAAGCAGCCTTACCCCATTGGGCACTTGAACACTTTCCTGTATTTGCACGATCAGAGCATAAGAAGGATGCAGGGATCAGCAAGGTGCTAATTAGAAGATTGCTTGAGCCTGTCACATTAAAAACTGAGATTTAATTGAAAAATTGCTAAGACGGAGCAATTGCTCTTGCAGCAGTGGTATGAGCTATCCTAGGAAGGGGCCTTAGATCTCTGTGAGGGATCAAGGCAGCAGTGTGCGGTGATGTTGATGGGGACAGTTGTGGGTATTGCTGTCATGAGGAGACGAGTCCAGGCAACTTGTCAGCCCCGAAGGAGCTGGGGGCAGCGTGTGGAGCGCAGCGCGTGCGGCACTTACCCGCTGCAAGAGCAGCGATGCCTCCTGGCGCGCAGGCACGCGGGCTGCCTTGCCCTCCTGCAGCCCCTGAGGGCCGGAGCCTCTTGCCGCGAGCAGGGCCTGCACCCCGACGTGCTCTCGAGCTCGGTGCCCGTCTCTGCGTGGGGTCCTCACGGTTGCGCCGTGCCCTGCAATGCTGCTCGCTGTGCCCAGAGCCTGGGACCTGCAGCTTGGCCTTTCTCTGGGGACTTCACCCTCCTCTCTAAGAGTTAAACTGTCAATGGCTTTGAGTAGTGGAAACTATGTTCATTTACAATGTGCTATTTAAAATACAAAGCAAGTGCGATGGTGGTGAGAGGTGTCTGGTGACCAGGACAGAGATTTACTTTCCCGTTGCCATTGTTGGGAGAGTGAGGAGATGCAGGGCAGACTTCCCCAGCTGCTGGGGTTTTCAGAGCCTGGCTCTGCAGGGATAAAAGCAGCTCTGCTGCGTGTCCCGAAGGAGCACTTGGTGTGGAGCATGTCATTCCCTTGGGAGCAGCAGCAGGAGAGGAGGAGGCCCCTTCCCGAGAGCATCCCCCAAGATCAGGGCTCTGAGCAATGTGTGTGGGACTCTGCTTAAGCAACTGGCCTGAACACTATGTGATTTTTGAGATAAGAGATTGCTTTCCCACTGCTTAATCGGAAAGGAGCGTTCCCTTCATCCCTGTGATGTCTGAAAAATTACTTCTGCTCCTCACTTTGTAGTGTGAGAGGAATGTACGTAATGTTACCTTTCTTACTCAGCGCTGCAGCGCGGAGAAATGCTGTCAGGCTCGTTATGTCTCATAATTGGGGATTTTATTTTAAATGAGTATTAACGTGGGTTTTCAAAAATCAGCTTTATGAGAACAGTTTGTGAAGTTAAAATTGTACCTACTTCTGCAGTAAAGTCATCTCATATCATTAATACATCTTAACATCTCCAGGGTTGGGCCGCAAATATTTCTAGAATTGCACATTTTATTTATTTTGAGGGTGAAAAGATATTAAATTTTTTCTTTTGGCTTTATAAGAAGTCAATGCAGAGATAAGTTGGTTATATGACAAGTGTCAAGGTAGCATGACAGGGAAGTGTAAAGAGGAGGCAGGTGTTCTTTATGTGGGGAAACATTTTGTTTTGGTTTTGTTTACTTTTCCCCAGCAACTGTGGCCCCCAGTTTACTTGGAAAGAACTGCTTGGTGCCTGTGCAATACACTAAGAAGCCATAGGGTTGCTGGCAGTCCCTTGAAAGACACCCTTCAAGCTGAAGTACTATAAATAACTGGCTTTAATGCATCTTAACTGTTTTTCCCTGCCTTTTCAGGATGAGATTAAATAACCACCTCCTTTTTTCCCCTTCTGTTGAGGGTTTCTCCTACTGCAGGAGCCCCCTGTAAGTAACCTGCTGGTGCAGGTGTCTGGGCAGGGCAACACTGGGAGCTGATTTTGGCCCCATGTGCTGGCACATTAAGGGGTTAAATGGGAGATGTTCTGGGAAGCCCTGAGATGGAGGCAGCTGTGCCTGTGCTGGGCTCTTCTCCCCTCCCTCTCTCCCTGCTCCACCTGTTGTCACTTGAGCTATGAGTAACTTAATATGGCAAAGCTGGGTTTTAATAGCACAAGCTGACACTCGGAGGGGAGATGAGGCAGCTTTGGGAGTGCTCAAGAAAAGGAGCTACATTTAAGGGCAGGGATTGTGGGGACAAAGTGGATTTGGGACGTAGTTACTCTCATGGTGGTCACCAAAGAGGAACTTGGGTTCTTCTTGCTGCGGCCCCTGGAGATGGTTTCCCTGGCACAGAGCTGGCTGGTATTTATGATTTCTCATTCTAGTTGCCCATAAAGCTATAAATGGATGCAGTGGTACCTCAACGTGCAGTGGACCCTGTTGTGCTGTTGCAGGAGGAGATTCCGCTGGGAAGAGCTGCTCCGTGTGACTCCCTGGAGCAGGGCTGTCCTGCTTGGTGCCCGCAGGGGTGGTGGGCACAGAGCACCTTGCCAGGAGATGCTGCTGAGCACATGGAAGAGATGGGCTGGATGCTGCCCGTGGAGCTGTTCACAGCAGCTCCACACTGTGTCCCCCTCCCAAGAGGAGTTAGGTGTTAGCGTAGGGAGAAGCTCCCGAATTATTCCTCCTGCTCAAGAAAAATATTTCTCATGCGGATTGAGTAGGGTGACTTCCTGCAGAAGATGCTTATATATTTTATTTTCATAAGACTTTATTTTGTGAAATACAATATACAGAGAAAATAAATTAAGTATCGAGTGCTGCTTCGGGTAGGGTTTGAACAGCTTTAAAGAAAGAAAGACTTTATAGCCCCAAAGTGACCACAGGGATTTATTGACGCTTTATTTTTTCCAAGGGATTACATAATTTCACAGGCAAACAGTATGGAGAAAGATGCTTGGGAAGGATGGATGGTGGATGGTAGCACTTTATTCCTTCCAGCTTGCCTTAGTGAAAGTTCATTTTCTGAAACTGAAATTTTCTTGAAAGCCCAGTGACCCACAGGTTGATACATAGGGATGCACTGGTAAGAAGTAGAGATTTTGGAGATGAATCATCCAGTCCTGTGTGGTGTCTGTGTTGACAGTGACTGAAGTAACAAGAATTTCACTGGGACAAGTCTCTGGAGCCATCTGGTCTCTCCGAGTTCAGATCGTTCTGGGAAGGAAGGGGAGAGTTGGGCTCGCTTTAGTGAGGAGGTCACTTTACCTGAGGAAACGCTTGCAAAATGACAAATCGAACCCTTGATTTCTCATTGCTTGCTTTTAAAGTGTTTGCTGTATGCAAGGGTTGGAAAAGTCCTTTTCGGGTTATAATAACTGTGAACAAAACAGCAGCACATCTAGACTTTTTTTTGGTTCTACTCATACCGTACTTTTAAACATGTAGGTGCTTCTGAAGTCCTGCTTTGACCACTGATCGTGGCTGTTAAATACTTTTATTTCCAGATTATAACCTCGTGTTCGAGCTGCCCTTGGGAGTTCACAAAGGTATTCAAGCTACTCTGCTTTTAGTCTAATCTAGAATCAGAAGGCATTCCTTTGATATCTTTTTTTTTTTTAAACAAATGATCTCAGAGTGCTTATAGGATAAATGTCTCAAGCTGTCAATTTGCACAGCTTAAATTGCAAAGGCAAATAAAAATTAATTTTGCCTTGCAATAGAAATAGTGACATTTAAGTTTCACCATTGTCAACACATCACTTGTTAGACAAATTCACTAATCCACTGCCTCGGTGTCTACCAGTTCTAGAGCTATTAACAGGATCCAGGGATCTAGATTCCTGTTTATTTGCTATTGTCCAACAGTCTATTTTGCTTTTATTCATATTATTGAGGAGAGAGTCATGTTGATTTGATAACCTATGTCTGTCCACAAACAGGTAGAAACTCATAAGCATAGCAAGTGGGATGAGGCTAAGCATGCAAAAGAAAAGAATATATCACCTGGTATCTGAGGAAGTCCACTTAAACAGACAAGATGTGCTTTACAAATGCTGTGAAAGAATATAGACATGATAGTTAGAAGGAGCAGCAAGCATTGGTTTGGGAAATACCCTTAAAAATAAAAGCTGTTGTTGTTCACCAGGAGCTGAAGTCATTGTAAATACAAGTTCCTGATCAGACCTAATGTAAAGTTCAAAGTGCTTAAAGTTCAAAGTGCTGTATGTGTGAAATTCTCTCCTTGCTTGGTGTGATGAGTGTAGCAGGAGGACAAATAACGCTCTTTTCCTAAGCATTAGCTGTGGGTTTGTTTTCTTCCAGCCATCACAGCTCTTTCCATGGAAACTCAGGTTTTAGAAATTTAGGGTTGACAAAAGTAGTCTTGTCTTGTTATGGCTAAAACAAGCCTCTTTATAGTGTATCTGTGGGCTAAGTATGTTGCAAATAGCAACAGCCATTTCCATGCATATTATACTTCTTTTTTTAAACATAACTAAAAGGTAGCTTTGTCCAATTTGCCTGGGAAGCTTCATCTTTAAAAGTCAAGTACAAAAACTCGGAGACTGAGAGAAATGAAATGTAGGATAAGAGGGTGTTGAACCCTTGTACCTACCCTCGTAGTTGATGCAGCCATTGGAGTCTTCCTGACCTTTCATCAATTCTTCTACTTCCTCTTCTGTCATCTTTTCACCTGGAAAATGGGGAGAGCCGAGTTTATTATACAGATGCTCAGCTGAGCTGATACCTAGAGGTTTTCCAGGAGTGCTGTTTTCTTTCTTTTCTCTCCTTCCTGGGCTAGTAATAAAGAAAAGCTGGAACTGAACTGAGCTTGTCTAATTTTAACTCTCCCTGGATATTCTGTATGTGGACATAAACACAGATTCTTTTTATGCTGCAAGGTAAAGAAACTATGGGGCAAATCCTCAGTGACTGCCTGTGTGTTTGCGTGCTTCACTTGCAGCCCTTTCTTGGTATCTCTCAAGTTACAGGCATTCTTAATACTTACGCAGAGCTGAAAAAACATGCTATAAGGCTGTGCTATGAGCTGGAGTAAGCAAACCTTTCCTCTTGCCCTACTGTGCGTTTTATTCACCTTCCCTTTGTTTTTCCAGTTTGGAAAGCCAGACTCTTCTCGAGCTTTGCAGCCTCCTCCTTCCCTGGGTCGGTTAGAACATCCTCCCCCTCTTGTGTCTTCAGACAGCAGTAACTTCTCAGAAATGCTCGCAGAGAAGCGCATCCCTTACCCAGAGTGGCCAGGACGTGGCGGAGTTCAGCCCCCATGACTGTGCCGTTGCCCTCCTTGTCAAATACACGCAGACCTTCAACGAAGTCTTCATAGGTGCCCTGGTCCTTGTTGTTAGCAGCTGCTTGCAGCATGGGCAGGAACTCTTCAAAAGTAATTTTCTTGGCGTTCATCTCTGGAAGGAAAATACCAGTTACTTCCCTACGAGACCCTCCTCCTGGCGTTCCCCTGCTGGGATGTTCACCCTGATACTCAGGAGAATCTCCCAGCTTGTTTGCTCACCTTTTTCTAGCGCTTTTCTAGCTTCTTCCCCAGGATATGGCAGAATATCCAGTTCCCCTGCAGAATCTGGATTCTCTCTTTATCTGCTTTCTCACATCTTTGCTCCAGCCCTCTTTTCACACAGTCTTACAGATTTGTGCTTGTCTGCGTGTTGTATTTTCCTTTCAGAAATGAAGCTTGCTGTATGAGTTCATCTTTGAAAGGATAATGTTCTGGCAGTGGACCCAGCAGAAATCTAGAGCCCCAAATGGTTTTAGACCTTGCTCAGACTTGGGCAAGCCCCAGGAGTTGATCACATTGTGTTTTCTTCAGGTTTCCAAGTGGCTGTTACTTTGGAGATGGAGAAAAGGTAACCAAAAAGACCCTCTAACCTTTATAGCCTTTGATCTTTCCAAGGAGCAGGGCAGAAAATCTTGCCCTCTGTGTCTCAATTGGTAAGAAAAACTGAAACCAGCTCCCTGCTCTAATCCTGTATTATGAGCTGGAGTAAACTGAACCTTGATAGTGTGAATGTTTGTTCAATTGATGTTGAGGGCAGGACTATGCAAGGAGGTTCTGTTGCTTTGAAACTTACTCTCTTCCTCCAGCCATCACAGTTCAATCTCGAGTTTTGTTCTCCTTTCCAAACCAGCTCTTGTATTTTGCAGGCTTTCTTGGACCTGCTAGCAGAGATTATTAGCTTAAAAATAGACTAGCTAAAAATAGGGTGTCCATCCAGCACACGTGTTCAGACTCACTGTTGCACATGACCAGTGTGCAGGTCCAAGGGCTCCCAAGCTTAGTGTGTTTTACACTTTTGTTTTCACCACCCAGAGGTGCCACCTTCCTCGGGGAGGGTTTTCCCAAATGGCTTTTATTGGAGCAAGGCTGTCAATGGGATTTCTTATTTTTCTTACATCCTTGCAAAGATTAATCTTTAGATGGGCAGGTATAAAACGTGACAGATGGAAATACAGGAGAGATTTTTCGAATATGCAATTATTATAGAAACTGTTTCACTAGTAACTGTACCAAAATCACAGCTGGGTGTTGCTACAGTCACTTAAAGCACCATGATGGTCTTGTCTCTGTTAGTCCTTCACTTAGTGCTTCCTTCCTGCTGGTGCTAATGCTGAACTTGGATTCCCTACAGGACCCTCAGAGCACCCCCTGCCACCCCTGAGGTTTTGGAGGTGATTTAGCCCATCCTAGCCTGCTCCTGCATCCAGGAATTGGGCTCCGGCAGAGGCTGCGGGGTAGTTACCCTCTTTGCTGGGGTTGCCCAGGATCTTGTTGATCTCGGCGTTCGTGGGGTTCTGCCCCAGCGCGCGGACGATGTCGCCGACCTGGCTCAGGGTGATCTTGGCGTCGCCGGTCCTGTCGAAGAGCAGGAAGGCCTCCTTGAAGTCTGCAGGGAAGAGCGCGTGTTACAGCGGGCCGGGCGGCTCCGTGTGGGCGAGTCCCGCTGACGGGGGGCCAGGCTGGTGTCTCCTGGCATCCGGCCTGTGCCAGGAGAGCCTTGGGCCCGCGCTTCCAAGAAAAACACCTCCCCTCTGACATTTTGGGTTCACTATTTTTAAACTTTTATATCTACCTTTCCCATCTTTCCTGACTCTGATAGCTATCAATAACTTTGAAATTGATCCCACAGTTATTTCGAGCACCGAGGAAGGTATCCTTGCTACGAGTGCTGCCATTTAAGAACAGGTTTCTTTGCATGGCCTAGCAGCAGAAGGTGAACGGGTTCCTGAATAATCAGCTCCATTTTATTTCACCATGGTACTGAGACGCTTCCATAAAGGTATCCAGCAGAGCAAAATATCTTCCTGCTTTCATGGATCCTGTCTACAATCATAATGTCTCAGAAACACAGTGTAATGGGAAACTTAGAGGTGAATTTCAAATGCTCCTACTCTTATTCTCCCTTAAAGCTGTCTTCTAGTAACATTTTTACTTATATTATTTTTTCTTGTTTGCCCTTTGTGATCTGTCTCTGCTTCTTGCAGATCCTTGAAGATCCAGCTTTTCCAGTGGCAACGCTTTTGTGGGGCCTTATTCTAGTGTATTCCCCTTAAATAAATCCTGAGACTTTACTGCTTTGTGTCCTCAGGGGATTATCACTCAATAAGTTTCCTCTTTGCTGTGGGCCAAGGACTTGAGGTACTGATATGTCTATAAAAATCAGTGCCAGTGATCACCTTCATCCAAGTACAAGACTTCAGCTGAAAACTCTGCGTTAATCATCTTACTATATCTTTTTAGTCTCTTTAAAGAACTTATTGCAACAAGTAAAGAAATATGTAAAAAGTCAAGAGTTTGACCTTCATAGGTCAAAGAGAGCTTTTTAGGTAAGGGAAGCTTGGTCTGTGCTGTTGATCTCTTTTGCACTGCAGTCCCTGACCCTGCTGTGTTTTAATTCCAAGAAAACCGGGTGAAATATCTTCCTAGCTGCTTATCTAATCTGAGGGGCCGTCGTGACTGAGCACAGCTTTGTGTTGCGCAGCTACCTGGAATGCTCTTTTTGCCTGGGGACAGATTTAAGAGTAATAACCCGCGTCTCTGATCATACCTTCGTTCCTCCTATGGAGGAGACGTACGAAATAAAGGTGTTTAGGTCTGCTTTAGCCATCCGTGCACCACCCCACGGGAGGAGCTGCTGGCACCCAGTAAAACTGCTGACGCAGGATGCCGGCCTTCTGGGCGGTAATCTAATACATCTGAAACTAATCCCCTAACTGTCGGATGTGCAAGACCTATAACCCTTTACTGCTGATACTCTCCCATTACAGCTTTTATTGCAGAGTGTAAAATTGAGGCCTTCTGGACCTACATAGAATTTCCCCTTGCAATCTACGAGCTTCATATTGGCTCCTGCTCTAGCAGCTGAGGTCGATGGATCATAGGGCATTAAATCACTGCAGCTCCAGTCTTTCCTCTGGTTCATGAGTGACATTTGACTACAGCTTAGTGTAAAACAATGTCAGCTTGTTGTTAGCAAAACTATCAGGTGAGTTTCTCTACTTTGTGAATCTCACCAAGTTTTATGTTCACTGGGTTATGAACACAGCTCCCTGGTTCAGAGAAAAAAGCCCAATTTTATCTTTGTCTCTCTGGTATGCCTTTCTCTGCAGTGTATCCTTGCTGATCTCCAGTTTATGCCTCTGCTGGAATAAGCAGGTCTAAAATCTGCCTCTGAACAGGGTTATGCCCAGCTGCTGGAGTGTGTGTGTGCACGGAAATAGCTGTCAAGGGTGGAGTATCAGGGTTTAGGGGAAATCCTCCCTCAAGTGGCTTTTAATTGCTCCCCTACTTGGTTCAGTCATCACAGCATTGCATCAGCTGGATGATCTGAAGCATGGAAGGAAGCTGAAAAAAAAAAAAAAAACTATTGCTTTGTTATACATGCCAGTAGCTTTAAATTGATGGCATTTTCCTATAAACCCTCCCAACCCCTTTCTAAATTCGTAGAATTACAAAGTGAGGATGAGTCTAAATTATTTCCTTTGTGCTCAGGAGCATTTGGACTGGAGGAAGAGACACATTTACAGCACTGTACCCCGCCCTCTTGCTTTTGGTGGTTATGATAGTGTAACCTAGAGCAGAATTGTGTTCAGGAAGTTTCATGCTTCTGGCTATTTCTCTGCCTTTGGATTTTTAGTAAATCCTTGTATTTTTTCCACCTAAATACTTTGTTCACATTCAGAGTGTCTGCTTTTGATGGTTTTATTTTGATTGCTTTACTATTTAATACCTGTGTTACTTACAGTAAGCCAAATGCATCTTTGAAGGTATTAACACATGCAGCTATGGAGGTATTAAAAACCCTTGGGCGCAGATTTCCAAGGCTTCAATAGGGATTATTTTAACAGCAGAACTTTTACTCACGCCTGTCTAGCCAAAAGATCTGGCACTTGCTGGTGGCTTGCTGAAAGCAGGCAACGCAACACAAAGCTTTAGGTTAGCAGTGTCCAGACTGATACACTGTATGCAATACTTAATGTGAGTCTCTAGTTTGCTAACCGTTCCCATGTTTCATAACACTTTCATGTTTCATAAACATAATTAAACAGCCGCTCTTCTCCCCTTTCTGCAAGACGTCCAGGCAAAAGTAAAAAGCAGATCTTTGGTGAAAGCTCTTCAACCTTCTGCTCATGCCCAATTGCAATGTCACTATAACTAGGTTACATTTTCTGCTTTCTCCTTCTGCTGTCCTGCCTCTGCTGATCTCCTCTGAGATTTTAAACAACAAGACCTCTTTTTATCATGCTTTAGAACAGCTGCTAGATGAACATAGCCAAAAAAATATTCAGCCCCAGAACTGGTCACGCTGGCGTATTCCCTCCTCATACCATGGCATGAACTTATGAGCTCAGGCAGCACATAAACACCCAGATAAATTAAGATCAGGTCAGATTCTTGTGCAGTGCAAGTCAACACAGCACCTTGGAAGGTGAGAGGGTGGTGACTTAAAGCAGCTAAAATCCTAGGTCCTCCTCTTGTAAAGGTTAAACCTCCTAGCACGCAGTGCCTGTCCAGACCCACGCACATGTACAACGCATTGGCTGTCTCATAACTTACCATCCTGTTGCTCCTTGGAGAACTCGATCTGTTGGAAGGAAATCAATCACAAAAAATGGCTTAGGAAAGGGGGGCTAGGGGAGAACCTGTTCGTTTCTAAAGCATCCAGCTCAGTCCATGAGTCATCTTCAAAGCAGTAGAAATGTGGCCTCTCAGATGTGCAGAAGTAATTCAGAAAGCAACAGAGCTCTTAAGACTAGCAAATACTTAGCGTCCGTAGACATTATGTTTTTTTCCCCACCGTTAAAGTTTAATTTTTATTTCACTTACCATTAATTTGGTCAGGAGTGAAGGACTGCAGTTTGGAAAGGAGAAGAAAAAGAAAAAAAAAAAAAAAGAGAGAGAAGAGAGAACTAGTACTGCTGAAAATGCACTGAGAGAAAGCAAATAGCACAAGGTACCTGAGCCCTCTGACACCTCTGTCTTGCCTGGTGCAATTAGGCCTCGACAACCTAAACTACCATCCTGCCTTGTAAAAATGTATCACCAGGTCTGGCTTTAGAGATTGTGCTGAATTCTGCATCCCAGGGAAAGCCAAGGTTGTGGTGGAAGCAACACAAATCGTAAGTCTCTTAACTAGCGAAGAAGTTGTTAATGTGCAATCGGGTCACTACTGCCTTAATATAGACCTATTTTATTAAGAACCCTTGAAGCAACACTGCTTAACAAGCAGCTTCTTTACAACAGCATAGAAAATAAACTGATCCATTAAGGCCTGTGTTTCAAATTACTTTTGACAACACATTGTTTCATAAACTGCTAAATTATGATTTTTTATTATATGAAACTATTGCTATTTTCCCTTGCAACTTTAGCAGGTCACATCAGACAAAGAAACTGCTTAGCAGATAGCTCTAGCAAGCTGCAACTGCCCTGTCTGAAGCTACAGGAGCCGCAGTTCTGCCTCTGCCTAGCGCAGGACCCCAGGAGAACCGGGCAGCCCAACACAGCCCGTCGCATTTGCTTGGCTTCCCTTGCTCCAACCAACTGTCCTCTTCTGGCCCCCTAGAACTAGCTCAAGCAAGAAGCTGGATTTGCTCATGGAAAATGCTCACTGCTAAACATTAGCTTCCCAGAGGACCCACCATGGTTGCGAGTTGGAAAAGTAGAGCAGCAGACAAGCAGGAGGGATTAGCTGCGGTCTCTGAGAGTGGTCCTGCTTTCCTGGCCTTTCTTCCTCTTATTTATGCGGAGGCACTGACGACATTGCCAGGATTGGGTGTCAGAAGGAAACCGCCACTCCCCTCGGCGAGTTCTTTAGCTTTCTTAGGGCAAAGTGACAGAAGGCTCCGTGTCTTGATGGACATTTTACAATGACTATTTTTAGGAGGCTGGAGAGAAGCAGGGAGTGGCGAGCAGCAGTAAGTTTGAATCATGTCAGCAATTTCTGGGTCCATACCATCAAGAGAGGATATTCCTTATCTAGCCCTACCATGGCTGCCTTACAGGGAGGGCTTCTTTCTCCAATAAGCCATAAAGCCAGCGGAGGAAGAGCACTGGGGGCGAGAAGTCCCATGCGTCTGTCCAGCTGGCCGGCCTTCTGTGTGGCCGCCCAGTTGTGTGTTGGTAGGGGCAGCTGGATGGCAAGTCCTGGGCTTGTTTCAAAGCCCACAATGTCGCTAAGACTCCTTGTACCTCCGCTGGGCTCTGCTCAGCCCCTTTTTTGGGTACTGCTCTGTGTTAGCACAGCATGATCTAGGTGTGGGTGCCGAGCAGAAGACTCACGCGTGGTTGATGTCCCACTGTGGAGCTCCTTCACACTGATCACATTTTCCACCTTTTTAACGCTGCTTACGGAAAGCTTATCTACATGCTTTGGAACCAGTTGCATTTCTAGGCTTGCTGCTGCTGTGGAGATGCCTGTTGCAGTAGGAAACCAGCTGGCATTAGAAGAGCTGGTGTTAATCAGGGCCCAGAGCTTGGTGTGGTAAGGGGAAGGGGAGTTGCATGGCAGAACTGAAGATGTTTTTCTCATATAGCCATGAAAGAAAAGCAGTGACACAGGCAGGGACCTTCCAAAAGCTTTGCAAGTGAATCGATGCCTTTTAAGAGTGGCGAAGGAGCAGACTGGCTCCGCAGGTCGCGGAGCAGAGGCGTTGTGGTGGGCTTGCAAGTGAGGAGTTCCCAAAGCTGCAGTTCTTCAGTAGCTAAGGCCTACTTCCACTGTGTAGCATCTTGCAGGCTCAGATCGTATCTCCAAATTCACACTGAGATGTTGTAAAAGGATGTGGAAGATTTCCTTTCAGCTCTTCAGTCTCACTTCAGCTGGCTCAAGAGGGTAAGGTAGCCAGGGTAGGAATGGTCGAGGGACAGACTTGGTTGTGAATTCAGCTGCGGGCTTTCCCTAATTCCTATCAATTTCCTTTGCACGCTCTCCTTTTCCTGATCCTCCCATGATAAAATGTGATTAATGAGAGATTCAGTCTTCTAGAGCACAGTTAGGTACTCTGAAGATAAGTATAACCTTTCAGAACACCTGACTAACCTCAGTATATTGAGGGCACTGAAAGAGCCAAAAACAGACTGACCTGATTTAAAAAAAAAAATTGATCAATGAAAATAGGTCAAAATATTTAATATTGGTGCTATTAACCTATTTTCTTTTAAACTAAAGATACATTACAGAAAAATTTCTGAGCAAGTCACATTAGCTGAAAAATATTTTGTCAAAACAGTTTGTGCTTTGGAAGAATATCTGGAAAACATACTGAGTATGAAAAATGATATCCACTTTCATTTCTTTTTGCTCTATTATTTGTAACTTATTAGCACTTAGAAACAGGGACACATTTGGGCAAATGTGCAGCAATGACCAAGTGAGGTCCTGTAAAAAAGGGAGCTGACGGTTTTGTCTGCTTTAGCCTCCATAGGTTAAACACGGTGCAGCCCCCCTGGCTAATACTAGCCATGGTTGGCCCTGGACAGCAAGAAAACCAGTGTAGATCTTGGCCATCAGTCCCAGTGCATGAATAGAGGAGCTTCCTAAAGGCTTTGGCAGAGCGAAGGGATTGCCGGGTCCCTGCGATATGTTGCCTTCTGTGGAATTTCCCTCTTGCTCTCGGCCCCTCACTCTTTCCTGCTGGAACTTCCAGTTCCTGAAAATGGGACTAAAATACATAAATAAAAATTATTAATTGCTACTATTTCTTTTTACCCAAGGAATTGTGTGTTTAATTCTGTAGAACTTTTTTCCCCCTTCACTTTCAGATCAGTTTTATGGTTGATTAAAACAAAATCCATCCCAAAAGATCTCAAATGCTAACTAGGAAACGTCTGGCACAGGGTTGTTTTGGACATAGAAACCCAGTTTCTAGTTTAGCCAGCTGGCTTGGATGGACTATCAAGTAGATATAAGCTGAGAGGGGTCTCTGTTTAAGCCAGTTGAACTCCTGACTGTGTGCGATTTCAGCTCCGATTTTGCATAAGAAAATACTGGTGCACTACAACAGCCCTTCAGTTTATTGCTGACTCTTGAATAAAAATGCACGGGATGGAATTTTGCTGTGGAGAAATATTCCAGCATAGTCGTGCCACATACTCTTGCATTAAGATTCACCTTGCTCTAAGTCAATGTAGTCTGGTATGGGCTTAAAATGCTGCTCTGTTTGAGTAAAGGCACCTACAGACGGCCTCAGGATACAAAATATTTTGACTGCTCCCTTCAAAAATTAAGGTAAGGGTGTAATTAGAAAGGAAGTTTCCATGGGGATCTGATCTTCATTCTGATCCTGGCAATGTTTTCTGTGTGATCAGAAAACGACGGTTCTGGGGCCATTAGTAAAGAATGAAAACTTGAAACTTCAGAGAGTTAAACAGAAAAAATAACACAAGTTTGAAGGAATTGCAGTACATGGAAAGATCAGAAGGATTCTGCCGATCTCTCTAACTTTTCTCAATCCTCATTAATCGACTAATTATTATCCAGAAGATGTTTACAGTAAAGTAGAGGTTCTAAAAGGTTAAGGATTTTCCCTGTGTTGTTTGCAATCGCCTTATTAAGCGTAAGAGCTAAATGGGAGACAGTTGCTCTGCGCTCACGGTGAATGGAAATGTCTGGGCAGTGTGAAAAGCCCCATGGAAAGAGGCTGCTGGAAGCTAAAACTGCTCTAGCTGCTTGTTCCCCTTTAGGTGCACTGCAGAGAGGAGGAGAGTTGTCTCTGTTAGGATTTGATCAGAGAACCGCCAGCTATTCCAAAGGATTTTCTCTGTGGAAAAGGCTGAGGGCATACTGGATGTCTCAGAAAAATCAGTGGGGAGAAAAATAGAGAATCCCTTAGGACTCTTATGTAATTAATCTCCTGTACAGGGCGCCTTTTTTTGGGTAGCGATCAGCTTGGATCATGCCTACAGCAGTTCATCTGATATCTGCTTGCCATTAATGCCTGATTAATATAGCTGCACATATTTCCTAGTAAGCATCACCAAGTGCAGGGTTACAGGGCTCTGAAGCCCCTCAGAAAAGCGGGTCGTTGTTCGCCAGTCCCTCACCCTGGTCGGGGACTCTGCGATCAACATGAGGGGTCTCAGAGGGGCTGCTTCCTCTTTAGGGAAGAGTCAACAGCCTCATGGATTTCCCCAGTGTCTTTCATGGGGCAAAGAAATACTGGAAATAGACGAGCTCTTGAGAAGTAGAGCTTTGTTTTAGAGTGAAACAGCCCAGGAATACAGTAGAAGAAAGACTAAGAGCAAGCACCACTAATATATGACCTTCGGGGGTAGAAGAATAGTTTTAAACCTCTTTTCATTTAATGAACTTGAAGTGATTAGATTTGTGCTTTTTCCCCGTCAACTGCTCTATGTATCTTTATGGTTTGTTCCAAGCCTGTAACTTCGCAGCTACTGTAGAGTTGCATAAAACCTTCTGGATGAGCTTGTGGACTCGATTACTGAATGTGCCCTTCTAAAATGTCTGAGAGCGAAGTGTGCTCCAGGTCACACCGTCTTGCACAGGTTTCCTTAGCCTCTCTGGGGAAGTGGCATCCAGTTGGGCTCCTTTGTGAAAGTGTCCCTTTTCCTGCTGGCCTTCAG